AGTTAATGCTATAAAACCAAATGTTAAGTATCCTCCTCAGTCCTCTTTTATGCAGTTTGCTCATATCTAAAACACTGCACAACAGAACAAATGGAAACACTCAAAGGAATTTGAAAAGACTTATTTATTTTTTCCTTCAGTAAGAAAGAAAAGCAAAATATAAACAATACAACTTTCACTTATTTCCATCCCTTTACATTGCTCAAACTCATGAATAAGTACTAATGAAGTTGTACTAGTGAAGAGAAGACAATCAGTGCTCAATCTACAACTTGAAAAGATGATTTAAGCAATGGCGGCTAGATAGTCTTTCACCTCCGCTGGAGTCAGTCGCCTAAATCCTGCTTCATTGCAGATTCCCACCTCAATGTTGTCCTCAGTCATTTGACCTTCAAAGCTTTCCTGTAACAAAAGTAGTCATAGTTAACATTGATGTTTGACATGAATGCAAACAGGCTCTGAAATAAATATTCAGGAAGTCATTTTGAGGCTTTGGCAAGTAAATAAAACGTCAAGCTTTGTGACAGTTACAGTTTCAGTGAGATATTGACTCTAGCTCGTTTGTCACCAATGCACAATGAAAAACAGCTAGATAAAGAGATGTAATTCCTATAGGGAATCAATATTTTACAATGCAACAGACCGTTTCACAGCTACCAAATATTTTAGTTTAGACAAAAGTTAATCTTGGATCTTGTATGCAAATAATAATGGTATCTAATACATTACTGCAATTAACAGACCTTTAGCAAACGTGGCTGGGTTGTATATTTATAATAAAATTGTATAATTATTACCTTAAGAGTCAGAATAGCAGTGTGAATTGCATCTTCCAGTTCCAGATCCTCGTTGTATCTAAAACAGGAAAATGAAACCAATGAGATGCTGTACGTTTAGGAAGACTAAAAGGGTCTTATGCTTTCAGTTATTATGTTTTATACCTTTTTTCAAGGAATGTTTTCCCATTCACATAGCTCTTCCCCATCGCTGTGGCTTTCCATGCAAAGTATGCTCCCTTAAACAGATCAAAGTCCATCTTATTTTTCTAATACAGTGCATAATAAAGAGCATAAATTTTAAGAGACAATTATTTTCAGTTCAAATTTAAAGATTACACTAATACAATAAATTAAATGATATAATACCAAAGTGAATAGCAAGCATACCGAGGGGTCTGACTGGAAAAGGTATGGACGGTCTTCATCCCAGCCAGCAATCAGGAGTGACACACCGAATGGCCGAACACCTCTGTGTTTAAACAATAACATGACAAAATGTTATGCCAGAGTCAATTTGGTACATGCATATTGTTATAAATTTTGCAAAAGAGCTGTTTGTAGGGCAACTTCCAGAACAATTGTAACAGTGGTAAATTGTGCAACGGAGACATTTCACACATACCCTGATTGTGTGTACTCCTGCATAACAGAAGCCACTCTCTGAACAAGCTGGCCAGTAGGAATCGGCTCCTGATAGACCAGGAAGTACTGCTGAGCCAGCTTCCGTGCCCTTCGCACCAGAACCCTGCAAACATGATAAAAACCCATTACAACAACTCTTATTGAGCATCTTATCTTTGCCATAATCCCACCTTTATATTATAATTACGACAATATGAGAAATCCAACATTTTTACTGAAAATTGACTCAGCCACAGGCAAACATCATAGATGCAGATCAGTGTGTTTCTTTATTGGAATGGATTTGGAAAAATTTAGCATTGCATCACTTGCTCACCAATGGATCCTCTGCAGTGAATGGGTCACAATAGAAACATCACAATAATCCACATGACTCCAGTCCAACAATTAATGTCTTGTGAAGCGAAAAGTAGCATGCTTATAATAAACAAATCCATCAAGACGTTTTTAACCTCAAACTGTTCTTTTCAGCCTAAATAGATAGTCTATAAACCATAATATTGCTTTCTCCAGTGAAAAAATTGTCTCGTCTGAATCAGGAGAGAAATATGCACAGATCAAGCACTGTTTACAAAACAGTCTAAAATAGCATTTTAATGTGAGAGGACAAACAGGGGATGGACTTTTTAATTAGAGGAATTGTTATTATGGATTTTGACTTGAGTTTAAAGTTAAAACACCTTAATAATGGATGTTTCCTACATACATGCAGAATTTCGCTTCACAATATATTTATTGATAGCCTGGAGTGGTATGGATTACTTGTGGATTATTGTGATGTTTTTATCAGCTGTTTGTACCCTGAGGGTACATTTTCTTTTTTGGGTGAACTATTCTTTAAATTTTTTTAAAACATTAAAATCGCTCTGAATGTCAACTACACTTTTTTTTTTTAACAAGACTGCCTTACACATGCTTCATATTAAGAATCATTATTATATAGCGTTTGTTCATGTAGGCTCCAAATCCGTACCTGTAGTCTGGACCCATGCCACTGTAGACCATACCAATGTGTTTGGTTATGGGCTCTACTTTGTGAACACTTTGCTCATCATACAATATCGATTTCTGCTTCTTTTCCGTAGCCAGAACAACCCCATTTGAAGCTGTGAAAACGAAATGATGATAAAATGAAAGTTCCTTGCTATATAAACACAGTTCAAAAAGCTCATAATAAGCACATGCTAAAACCATAAAGTTTTATAAATAATGAAAAGTTAAGACACACATAACAAATACATAAAAGAACATTACTAACCTTTTATTCCAACTGAAGGAGCACCAGCTGCTACAGCTGCCAGAGCATACTCAATCTGGACCAACTTCCCTGAAGGGCTGAAAACAGAAAAACAAGAAAAGTGTTGTGATTGTAAGGTGAAGTATATTTTGACATGTTGACTAGGGTTAATGTTAAAACATTGTGCTGTATTGTTACTTTACCCATTTACAGACTTCAAATATACAAATGAGGCTTATTAAATATGCACAATAAAAGTACTACAGTCCTTATAAAAAAAGTTATATTTTTACATTGTCACAAAACTGTTCTGTTTAGTTATATTTTATTATAATAATAACAAAACAAAAAAACAGTACTGATAATTATAAACTGTATGTTCATGTGCATTCAGGAGTTATATACAAGAACAGCTTCCTATGATGCACAGAAAGTGAAAGTAAAATAAGCAAGTTGCAGTCGCAAAGACAAAACTGAGGCCAGTCTGTCCTTTAAACACCCATGAGAGTGTAGAATTTGTTGCTCTGGGATTCATTATGTGTTTAGTTCATCCTGTTCATGAATGTTGATGCACATGAATAAAATAAGCACTGCATCACAAACACAGTGACTCTGCATCAGCGGCCAGATAATGATTTAACGCCTCTGATTGACGGAACGCACATCACAAAACTCGAGCTTCGCGATTCGCTAAAACACACACTCGTTTGATCTTCATGAACACACTGGATTTAACAAAATCATGATGTTTATTACCTGAAAGTGGTGAGGGAGAAACTGTACCCTCTTTCTGTCATGGCTGTGTCTGGCTGTTGGGGAAGTGACGTCACGCGCTTAATTGATCTGATTGGCTGAAAGAGTTACTGGGTTTCTTAATGAATTGTGGGTATTGCAGCCTAAGGATAAGTTTAAAATAACTTTGGATGTTTGGTTTTGTTTTACCTGGCACCAATTAAAATCATGTAATAATTAAAACATTTGTTGGTTTAATCATATATTTTGAACATATTTCGCCCACACCCGCTCAGAAATAAAGCTGAATTTTTATAACGTTGTACTACAAATCCCAGAATGCAAGGGTGCAGAACAAGGCGCATGCGCACTAGGTCTTTTTTTTTAGCTGTGACCGTGAGGATGTTAGGTCTGTACATGTTACATTAATCTGAAATAAAATACCGCATATAATGTCATTATCGGGTTTACTTCAGTTTGTCGGACGCTCTCTGCAGCGTCTGGAACTCCGTTTAGCGCAAGCAGCGGGATTTGACAGCTTCGGTGAGTGCATTTACTGTAATGTCATGTGTTACACTCCTCCACTCATATCACCATACATACACTTATTTCACAATTAAGCTTTATTTAATATCATTTTAAATTTTTTCCCCTTCTGACTGACCATTCCTTTGTGATATTAAATATAGTGTTTGTTTTGGAAGTCATTATCTCTGGTAAGTGAAGGGCTCAAGGAGACGCAATCTTTAAGGGGAAGTACTAAAGGTCGAATAGAATAAAAAGTCTCTTTAATCGGAATGAAATGTTGCAGTGTTAATTTGTTTTTCTTGAGATATATTTACTTAATTTATATGGCTAATTAGGTAACATGTTATTAAGAATATATGGAACAAGCATGCAAAATGTGGACTGATAAGTATTAGCTTCTTTTATTTTAGTTTCTCATTTAAAATATGTATTTTTTTATATTTTTAATAATTATATATATATATATATATATAAAAGCTTGTACATGATCAGTGGGTATCACAGTCACATGACAGCGTTAACCATGTTCCTGTTTAATATCAAAACACCATTCTTATTTTAAATGATGATCATTTATGCACATGGTACATCATTGTAGATATCCACAAAAACATTACCTTAGTATATGTCCAAAAACATAGTATTACTATAGCACCAAAAAATGTTTTAAATAAATGAAAGAACATTACTACGCACAACAGCCACAACTAAAAGAGATCGTAATGTAATTCAAAGAAGGTTTTGGAACTCCAACCTCTTCTGCCCATCAGTCTGCGCATCTCCTGCGCAGTTGCGAGTATCTGGAATCTCAAATGCGCCGCTCTCAGGACTATACCAAATTCACTATAGTTTAGGGGTGTTTATAATTCAGTCCAACTGCATTTCTTCAGTTTGTGTAAATAAAGATGCATCTATGAGCATTTAATAATAAGTACATTAAAAAGAAATTCATTTAAAGACCACTTATAATTCTATACGATGTAGTTAATATGTATATTTTGATAATAAACGTATCCAACTCCCCTATGAAATAGTAAATTGACTGCTGGATGTTTTTAATGGAATTGCATAAAAGTCCAAGCTGTCTGGAAGATCTCATGCTGAAGACTTTAGATTGTTCAAGGTAAGCAAAGAAACGAAACACGTTTTAACAGTCAAATGATAACAGATCTATATAATCTATAAGTTGTTAAATAAGTGTGTTTACCTGCTGGAGAAATGCATTTATCATCACCTTTGCAGGGTTGCAGCTTTAGCAGTGTTGTGTTGCAGGTCGCTAATGTCATGACATTAGTAGACAGATAATAGATAGACAAATAGATAGTAATATAGTTTGATGTGTGCAGTCTGGTTTGTTTAATAAGTGTCAGACACACGAAACACACACTGTGACAATACAGCACCTTACTGAACTTGAAAAAAGTTCTTCATCCTCACAGCCCATTAAGTATATTGTTTCACTTTCTTTTCAGGGTTTCTCCATGAACAATCTGAACGATCCTCCTAGATGGAACATTAGACCAGAGGCCGCTGCTGGAGATGACGGGGGCAGATGGAATTATGTGCTGCTGGTGCCCATGATTGGGCTGGCAGCATTTCGTAAGTGTTTTTTTTTTGTTTTTTTTTACATCTTACAGCTCATACACCGTCACAAATGTCTTGAATGAGTGTGTGCTAGTGATGGGAAGTCCGGTTCTTTTCCGCGAACCGGTTCTTTCTGATTGGTTTTGTGGTTCAGGGTCACATATGTTATGTTATGTGTTAAGTAGATGTTAAATGTTGACAAAATGATCTTTTATCAGATTTAAAATGACTTGCTCTTCTTTGAAAACATACCAAACATAATGACTCATGTTAATGAGTCAACAATAAACATCCCAATTTTCATCTAAAAATGCTCTAAATCTACTACAAATTATTAGAACTACAATGCACTGTCGCATTTTTTGTTTTTCTTTTGTGTGGATTTATGTGTATTTTTTGTAGGTTGTGTTGAGATATATATAGTTATTTTAGTAGTGTATAGTATATAATTTAATTATTGTAATATTATTTATATACTAATATATTTTTATTAATATCATGAATTAGCTTTTATATTATTTTTAATTTTAGTAATTTTATCTGCTATATTCATTTTTTATATTTCTGTTTAGCTTTAATTTATTAGTTTTAGCACTTCAGCTTATTGTATTTCAGTTAGTTGCCAAGGCATCATCTGATATTTATTTTTATTTCAGCTTAATTTGAGTTTTAGGTAACAAAAACTATTTTAAATAAAAAAGGTTTAGGTAAAAAACAACACTGATGAATGAATGAATGATTTCAGTACTTAATTTGTGATGGATTTAAAATTTAAATACTAAATTTTAATAGTATTTGTCGAAAGTCATGTTCTCCTTAAATTGATTTGGTCAGTCTTGCCAAAGAGATTTAAGACTTAAAATGTCAGTGGGTGTATTTTGGAAAGGTTGGATATGGACTCGAGAATCACAGAGCCAGATCCAAGATGTGAAGAACAAGTACAACAGCGACATGGCAGCCATTACCAGAGACCTGGAGCTGAAGTACAGGGAGACGCTGACGGAAAACCGGCGGACAGCAGCGCACCTGGAGGTGGAGCTTGAGAAGGAACACCAGCGCGTGCAGGGCTACAAGAAAGCCCTGATCTCTCAGAGTCAGCAGCTCATGGAGGAACGGAAGCAGCTTCAGCAGGAACGACAGGATCTGGAGGAGGAGAAGAACCGTCTGCTGCAGTCTGGAGTGGCCGGGGCGGCGCTGCGGAAAGCCCTGCAGCGAGAGGAGGACTGGCAGCGCAGGGCTCAGGCTCTGCTACAGGAACTGGAGGTGAAGCTGGTGGAGAGGCAGGAAGCTTTCTGCAGCATCCTGTTGCCACGAGAACATCGTCTGGAGATGGAGAAGAACCTGCTGCTAAAGGTGGCTAAAGACCCGGTGGGTGCCGAGCTGAACCTAGAGGAAGATCTCAGGGACATTTTTAAGAACGACAGACACTGTGCAGATTTAATGAACATGGATAAGCGCAAGAATGGGAATTTGATGTGGCTGTATCTCAGGTACTGGCAGCTCCAGGTCACCCTGCAGAAACACAAGAGGGCAGAAGAGACGCTAAAAGGGGCATCGCCAAACTCCAGCAGACCGTGAGGAGTGTAGATCTCGATATAAAACAAGAATTGTCTTCCTTAAATGTTTTCCTTTGCTTATCCAAGGTTTTCCCATGATTTATTTATCAACTATTTATGATGCCAAACGTTTTTGTGAAACCACTTGAGCCCCGAGTCTTTGACAGTCATATCAGAACATGACTGTATATTAGGGATGCACGATATTATCGGACCAATATTGGAATCGGCCAATAATGGCTTTAAATGTAAATATCGGCATGGGCCCGATATGAAAAATTATGCCATATGTCTTGCCGATAAGAGGAATACATTAACTCACATGTGCTCAGGGTGTGCTAGCGAATAGATCATGCCAGGATTGTGGCTCATTCTTGAAGCAAAGTTTTGCCTGAATGATGATTAGATTCACGGTTTTGGATCGCTGCATTTAAACTGAGAATGCACTTACAGAATGACATGATCGGTGTATGAGTAAACAGTAATAGCACGTGCAACGGCAGCAGCGGCAGCCTCCCCCGGGTTCTAACGCCCGTTCGGTAAGGAGTTTTAATTCCGTAGGGGGCGCTGTTGGCCTACTTCTAATAAAATGAAAGCAAAATACATAAATAATATTTAGACTGTGTTTCTGATTAAATAAAGCTATAATTGATGCCATAAAATCATGAGTATGTTTTGATTTAAAAGGTCAGAAGCTATAGCTTCATTTTTTTTTTAAAAATCACAAACATGACACTTGTAAATTAAATAATTCTATATATACTGATTTATTAATTAATGTGTAATATGTTATATTTTTTAAACAATTTATGAGCTCTAAAATATCTTTTGCTTTAGACTATCTGCAAATGTTAAATCATAAAATAAAATGTTAAGGTTACCACTGCATCTCTCTGGGGAAAAAATGCAGTGATTAATATATAGTTTATTTATAGTTATTTTCAAATCTTCAGTGTACTGTAATTATAAAAGAACTTGTTTATTGTTTATTTAATTCTAACCAAAATTAAAAATAATTATATATTGGTATCGGCTATTGGCCAAAATTAGTTGAAAATTATCGGCATATCGGCAAAAATCCAATATCGTGCATCCCTACTGTATATTTTGTTGGGCAGATTTTTTGTGCTTCTCAGTACTGTTTTTGTTTTCTTTCAGTTTTTTTGGATCAAGTAGAAAGCAGACTAATCAAATGCTTTGTTGCATTACTGATGAACTTTAATAGACAATTTATTAATTTTCAGTCTAAAGATGGTTCATAACTCATATGTACCACAAAAATAAAAATGAGGTTACTGACATGTGTAATAAATATGTTTTCTGACACGAAAGAATATATTACAGTTTGATCGACTCAGGTTTTTTTTTTTTTATTGTTTGCCATAGCTTCATAAATACATATAAATGAGATTTACAGTTTATTTATAGCATTTATTTCCAAGAACTAAATGTTTTGAATAGATTATGATTGTCCATCAGAGATGTCTGCCCTCATTGCAGTTCATTGTAAACCTGCTGAGAAATAGATCAACAGCTCCTTTATAATCAAATATAGGTTACAATTAAAAATTACATTCAATTTAGACTCATTTCATTTAGAATATTCAGGTTTAAGACCATTACTAAATATTTTCTAAATATTTCCCCATTTGTTTTGCAAGGATTTTGACACTTAAGCCACATTTAGAAAATGAATAATGTTATTGTGTTAAATAACACACCAAGTGGCATTTATTGTAAATAAATACATAAAGCACAACGATAATGTTTAAAATGATAAATCATATGGTTAAATAGCATGACATTAATTTTATGTTTAAACAAAACTTTTTTTGTGGTATCTTCCTTTGATAAGGTTCCTCTGGTAGTCTCAGCTGAAAACAAATTGGGAGCATGTAGTTCTCTTGAAGGCTTTGGTATTTAAGTATGCGTGAGGTCACCCACCATACTTGTCATTGTATCCGTGTCCATGATGGCAGACAGCTTTCATCAGCTCATCACTCTCGTCGCTGGAAGCCGAGTGTGTCTCGTGGGGGAGAGATGAGGCTGGACGCTCTGAAGTCTGGACTCCTGGGTTGGATTAACATTGGCTTATGTTCGGTGATGGACGAGACCTCTCTCTTCTGAAGGCAAAGACCATTTAAACTAGTCTCAGAGTCCATGGCGGATTTTATTCTGGAGGGAGAGGGCTCACGGGTAACGTCAGGCTGCGTGACATCTCTGGGCACAAATATTGGTATTGGAAGAATGTTTCTGTAAGGTAAATGATATTCCTGCAGTGGCTCCCCCTCTCTCCCCATGTGAATGGTTTGGTTTAGGAACCGTCTCACTGTGAAATGAACCACCTGCTTGCTTTCATAGCTCTCCTTTCTCATTGAGTCCTTCTCGACAAGTGTCCTCCTGTGAAGCAGGACTTGTACAAGTTAGTAAAAAGTAAATTACATATTTAATGAATGCATAAAATTGATCAAAAGTGACAAAAGTATTGTAATATTTTTTTGTAATATTGTTTTTTTTTTGTTACTTTCTAATTGTCAAAGAATCCTGAAAAAAAAAAAATTTCTTGAGCATCTAATCAGCATATTAGAATTATTTCTGAAGGATCATGTGACACTAGACTGGAGTAATGATTCTGAAAATTCAGCTTTGTCATCACAGGAATAAATTAATTAAATTCCATTATATTAAAATTGAACCCAGTTATATTAAATTTCAATATTATTTCACAATATTACTGTTTTTACAGTATTTTTTATAAAGTAAAAGCATCCTTGGTGAACAATAAATAAATAATTATATATATATATATATATATATAAAAAATAAAAAATCTGATGAAATCCAAGCATTTGAGTTAAAATAAGGGTTTTTGTTTTTTTATTTTTGTCTATTAGTTTTATTAATTTGTATTAATCAGAGGTAAAGTGAGTGTGATAAAGGAATATTTTACCCAAAAATTTAAATTCTGTGTTTGTTCTCATTTTTTGCCCCTCAAAAAAAAAAAAACCCTAAAAGCGCTATAAGTCCATAAACCTTGTGCATAATATTCTAAATCTTCTGAAGCCATACGATAACATTGTGAGACGGGAAATGAACCATCACACCAGGGTTGATGTGATGCACCACTTTGAAAATACAGAATGCAAGATATGAGAGCTGCATCAGAGGGGAAGATATTTAATGAATAAATACATTTTGGTCTATATGATTTCAGAAAGCTATATGTACTGTATATAGCATGAGTGAAAACGACTATATTATTATTTTAATATATATTTGCCCCCCGGAGCTTGACAGTTATGATGAAGATTAACTGCTATTAATTCTTCAGAGTTTATGATAACAGCATACAGGCTTGGAACAACAAAAGAGCAAGTAAATATTAACATTTTTAATTTTGGGGTGAAGGATTCCTGCAAATACAACATGTACAGTAGGAAACAGAAATGCATACTTGTATTCTGGCCTCGTCTCCATCAGTAGGTCTAACCAGGTGGCCTCATATGATTCTCTGGCAATCTCATCAGTCTCCTGAAAATCACTGTAGGAGTTCAGCAGATACGACCTGGGCTTCCTGGTCAGGCAATGCATCTCATCCAGCAAACTATCAAAAAATAGAAGCCAAATTAAAACTGGATAAGAGCGTTATCAGTCCGATCTTCTGATAAAGGCTGCTGCTTCCCTCCTGAGTGTTCCTGTGTCTTATAAATAGGGTTTGTTGCTATTTTTACATCCTGCCATCAACCCCACAGGAGTCTCTTCAGATTGGTGTAGTTTGAGGAGGTGGGAAAATGACTAATCCCACGACCATTTAACTGATATGCAAGACTAATAACTTCACCAGGAGGTCAACAGTGTCAAAGGACCCATCTGATCTCAGATTTCCTGTTGTATGTGCGTCAAAACATTATGGCTATTGCTGATAGCAACAAAACTTGATGCTGACTGGTGCCATGCCCTAAAAATGTTAAGTTAAATGCAATGTACATTTTATGTGTGGTATTTAATGTACAGGTAGAAGCAAAGTAACCCTTGAAAGTAAATACATAGTATCCACGATGTTCTGAAAAGATAAAAATAGAAAAAGGTGCAGATATCTCTGACACGCATCTCATGTTTAAGGGTCCTTGTTGCCTCTCTCGGTTGTCAGCACCTGTGCAAAAGCCACACGCCATTGTTACACTGTGGCATTCAGAGCAGCATGTCAAACTCAAACCATTCTGTCTGATTGATGTTCTGTAGGTGATGTATAGTATAGTCCATCACTCAGCAGTAACAACAATTCTTTCTGGAGTTTACTGATGAAAGAGGCCTCTCTTTCAAGAGATTCTTGCAGGACGACTGTTAAATTTGGCCTCAACATGCATCAACCTGTCATACAAGTATTTAAGCAGCTGTATGTATTGTGTGTGTGTGTGTGTGTGTGTGTGTGTGTGTGTATTTTTGCGACTTTGGTGCCCTCTACAGTTAAGTACGTGGAATTCACTGTTGTAAATATCACTGTAACTAGCTATACACATGCATTTGTTGCTACCATAAAGCAATTAGTCTGTTTCAGAATTTCGACTACCAAATAAATAAATAAAACTTACATATAGTTTCAACCAAAACTAACCCATGACACCCATCAAGAAATTGTCCACGTTATATTTCACCTCAAAATCAAAAGAGATGCTATTAAACAAATATTCGAAATATTTGTTTAATGGCATATTTTTACCAAGTAAAATCCAATATCACTGATAATGAAGACTCCATTAAATAATTTCCCCCAGTTTCTGCGGATAAAATGGGTAATTATAAACAAATAAATTAACAAACAAACAAATAATAATTAAATAAATGCTTTGTATCGATTTGTTAATTTGTATTAAAATATACATTTTTTTCTGCAGTCTGGTAGTTTTCTTTTCTTTTTTACTGTCATTATTTATCTATAATCTCTACTGTTCTTTTTTTTTTTTTTTTTTTAAGAGTAAATCTGAGAGGAATGAACACACACAAATCCATCAAATGTAAAACATCCCCAAATGTATTACCATAATGAGAATCTGGGGGTAAAATGTTCCTAATTGTCATGGAATAATGTCACAAGGCTCAAACAAATAAACAAACACATACATAAATACATACATAAATAAATATTCACCCAAGTTCATCTGTGATTGTGCTGTGTGTATTGTTATACTATTACAGTGTTCAGGTGGTT